GAGGTCTGGACCAGGAACTCGGGGTGTGGGAGGTGGGGTCAGGGGTTGGGGGTGAGGGGCGGGTGTGGGTCTAAGTTGCCTCCATTCTCCCCCCCTCACCGTTCCAGGGTGGGGGCACCCACTTCTCAGTCTCCTTGCTGGGATACATCACAGCGCCGGCATATTGCTGAGCCCACTCCACATCGGGCTGCCATTGGTGGCCCCCCCTGAGGGGACAGCGGGAGTGAGACCCCAGACCCACACCCAGACCTCACCCCCAAGCCCTGAGCCCACATCCCACACCCCGAGTTCCTGGTCCAGACCTCAGACTCAGATCCCAGACCCCAAAAACCAAATCCCACATCCCGGACCCCCAGATGCAGACGCAGACTTCGACGCCAGACCCCAACCCCTCCAAACCCTGACCCCAAACCCCAGACCCTGATCCCACATCCTCCAGCCCAGACCCCCAACCCTGACCCCAGCCCTAAGCCCCAGACCCTAAAACCAGACCTCCCCCCCCCAACCCCTGACCTCACACCCCACATTCAAACCCCGACCCCCCACTCCAGACCCCAGACCCAAATCCCAGACCTCAGCCCTCAATCCCAAACTCTGACCCCCCGTCCTCACCCCACATCCCGGCCCCACACCACAATCTCGCGCTCCACGTCCCCAATCCCAGCCTCCAGATCCAACCCCACTCCCACCATCCCAGCCTCCCTGCTTCTCACCGGGTCGGACCGGACCCGATCCGCGCCGCCGCCGCCCGCAGCCCCGAAGCCGCCCGCAGCCGCCCCAGTGCCCGCAGCGCCGCCATCTTGCCCTTGGCGCTGCGCAGGGGGCGGAGCCTGTCGCCATGTTGGGGAAGGGCGAGCGAAGCCGTCCCGCGCCGCCATATTGACTACGGGCAGTCGCCGTGTTTAGTAAGGGAAACAGGGAAACATCCGGGATATCGCCGCTGGAGCGGCGCTGCCGCCATGTTTGAGACGGGCAAAGGGCGAGGGAAGAGAAAGGGGGGGTGGGGAAAAAGGGGGTGGGGGCAGAGGGGCTGTGCGAGTGGGGTCGGGGGGTGGGGTCTGAATATGGGGTCAGGTTTGGGGGTCGGGGTGTGGGGTGAGGATGTGGAATGTGAGATCACAGTGTGGGGCCAAGGTATGGGGTCTGAATATGGGGTCAGTGTATGGAATCAGGGTATGGGGTCAGTATAGGGGGCACGGGGTCTGAATATGGGGTGAGGATGGGAGTGAGGGTGGGGGGTCCGAATATGGGGTCAGTGTGTGGGGTATGGGATCTGAACACGGGATCGGGGTATGGGGTTTGAATATGAGGTCAGGGTGCGGGGTCTGAATATGGGGTCAATGTCTGGGGTCCGAATATGGGGTGACGGTTTGGGGTCAGGGCTCCCCCCCCTGGGTACAGCAAACCTCCAACCC